CCTCCCTTCCTTCCTTCCTTCCTTCCTTCCTTCCTTCCTTCCTTCCTTACTTACTTACTTACTTACTTACTTAACAAGTAAACATTTAAAAATCACCAGTCCTTATAGAAGTTGTGATGAACAATAATGATTTTATTGCAAAATTTTGAATTTTTCATAAAATTCCATTTTGTTACACAGTAGAAGTACAGAGATCCACAAAGGAGAATAGCTTCAAATTCCATTAGGTCCTCCCCTTTCTCATTAACTGGCACTTAAAGTTTCAATACCTCACTCTGATACATTTGTTGGAAAAATAACAAAAAACATTTCTTTAATTGCCTGAAATTATAGACTTGTGTATGCTGCTTTATTTACTGCACCCATACTGACAACAAACTGAACAGCAAACAAACAACTGCCACCAGTTGAAAAGAGGGAAGGAGCACTCACTAGAGAAATGGGGTTCTGTTTGAATTCAAAGGCCGGAAGGAACAATTAGTTAGTGCTGTATAAATAATCACACAGAAAAATCCCTCACAATTACACAAACTGCAGATAGCATGCAAGGTTGCAAATAAAACTCCAACAGATTCTGCCCGTTAGTTGAATAACAGGTCTATCAACCGAGAAGGAATAATGGAATTAACCTAATATATTTGCTCAAGGCTACAGAGTGCTGTGCTCTGAAGATGCCGGCCACGGAGACTGGTGAAACGTTAGGAAGAACAACCTTCAGAACACAGCCAAAGAGCCCGAAAAATGCACAACAACTAATATATTTTCTCAAAGATCAGATCTTCTTCTCTTAGTAATGTCTAGACTACCAGATCTGTCCTCTGAGACTATCAGGTTTTTTTCCCCAGAGATAAAATGCACACTTGGAAAGAACATTTATGCTGTTTAAAATTCAAATAATGGAAACCTCCTTTTATGTTTGACTCATATAAGAAGTGTGTTCACAATAAAACAAACAGCCATGCCCAAACCTTGCTCATGTAATTGTTGCTTGTCTCCCTACCAAATATATTTCTGGTAGACTTCACTGCTCCTCCTTACATGTTAGCAATGTTTCCACAATAAAGGAAATAATTCCAGAACACCAGGGAGCAGTTTCCTGAAAATGATATTTCAGCCCCTTTCTCTCCTAGGTAGAGACTGAATTACTTAAAGCTGCCTATTTAAATGTTTTTTGATCAATTTTAGATTTGTTTGCAGGATAATTCAAATCTATGGTATAATTTATTTATATATACAGTATATATGTGTGTGTGTGTGTGTGTGTACATATGTGTGTGTGTGTGTGTGTGTGTGTGTATACATACAGTGGCACAAGAGCCTCGTAATGCAGTGGTTAAACCGCTGTACTGCAGCCAAAATTGTGCTCACGACCTGGGGTTCAATCCCAGGTACCCGGCTCAAGGTTGACTCAGCCTTCTTCCGAGGTGGGTAAAATGAGTACCCAGCTTGCTGGGGGGCCACACACACACACACACACACACACACAATGTATAGCCTGCTTAACACACACACACAGAGGATTGTGTTTTTGTTATTATGGTGTATGATAGCTTTGCAAGTTTTAACTTTATGTAAATGACCCAGGGTAGTATTTATACCAATAGGGTGGTATGTACACTAATCAGCCACAGATTTAAAACCAGACAGGTGAAGTGAATAGCATTGATTATATAGTAAAATTTGTATCTGTCAAGAGGTGGGATATATTAGGCAGCAAGCGAACAATCAGTTCTTGAATTCCATGTGTTGGAAGCAGGAAATATTAGCATGAGAAAAGATCTGAGTGACTTTGACAAGGGCCAAATACTGGTGGCTAGATGACTGGGTCAGGGCATCTATGGTACAGTAAGTCTTGTGGGGTTCTCCAGGTATGCAGTGGATAGTAACTATCAAAAGTGGTGCAAGAAAGAACAACCAGTGAACTGGTGTCAGAGTTGCAGGTACCCGAGGCTCATTGATGCACACGGGGAGAGTGAAGTCTAGCCTGTCTGGTCTCATCACACAGAAGAGTTACGGTAGCTCAGGTTGCTGAAAAGCTGAATGCTGGCCATGATAGAAAGGTGTCATAACACATAGTGCATTGCAGTTTGCTGCATATGGGACTGCATAGC